TTCATCGCGGCACTCCTCACACACAAGGAGGATGCCGTCTCCTCTTCTACCTTCCCGGCCTCTGGGCTGGACGGAAGGCTCTATGATTCCTTTAATTCTTTCTTCTTAATAAACTTTTTATTTTAGAACAGTTTAAATTTACAAAAAGATTGCATGAAAGTACAGAGAGTTCCCATAAACTCCATACCCAGTGTCCCCTATTATTAACATCTTACATTATATGGCACATTTGTTACAATAAATGAACAATATTGACACATTGCTATTATCTAAAGTCCATTCTTCATTCAGATTTCCTTGGTTTTTCCCTAATGTCATTGTTTTTTTCTTGAGGAAATTAGCCCTGAGCTAACATCTGTTGCCAGTCTTCCTCTTTTTGCTGAGGAAGACTGGCCCTGAGCTCACATCCATGTCCATCTTCCTCTACTTTATATGTGGGACGCCTGCCCCGCATGGCTTGACAAGCGGTGCACAGGTCTGCACCTGGGATCTGAACCAGCAAACCCTGGGCCAGGGAAGTGGAACATGCAAACTTAACCACTGCATCACCAGGCAGATCCCCATAATGTCATTTTTTCTTCCAAGATACCACGTGACATTTAGTCATTGTGTCTCCTTAGGCTCCTCTTGACTGTGACCGTTTCTCAGACTTTCTTTGTTTCTGGTTACCTTGACGGTTTTGAGGAGTGCTGCTCAGGTATTTTGTAGATTCGAAGATTGTATTTGTATCTTGAAGATGGAAGATGTCTATCCTTCAATTTGCATTTGCTGTTTTTCTCATGATTAGACTGGGGTTTTGTGTTCTTGAGGTAAAGTGCCATTTTCATCACATCAAGGGTACACATTATCCACATGACCTGTCACTGTTGATGTTGACCTTGATCACCCAGCTGAGGTAGTGTCTGTCAGGTTTCTCCATGTAAAATTACTCTTTTCCCCTCATTTCCATACCATCCTCTTTGGAAGGAAGTCCCTATACACAACCCACACCAAGGGATGGGGAGTTATGCTCACCCTCCTAGAGGGGAGAATATGTACATAAATTGTTTGGTATTCTTCTTTTTTTTTTTTAAGTATACACTTTTTTTGGTGAGGAAGATTGGCCCTGAGCTAACATCTGTTGCCAATCTGCCTCCTTTTCTCCTCTCCAAAGCCCCAGCACATAGTTGTATATCCTAGCTATAGGTCATTCTAGTTCTTCTATATGGGACACTGCCACAGCATGGCTCGATGAGCGGTGCGTAGGTCAATGCCCAGGATCTGAACTGGGGAACCCCCAGCACCGCCAAAGCAGAGCGTGCAAACTTAAGCACTGGGCCTTGGGGCCAGCCCCTAGTATTCTTCTGATGGGGAGATTCGTCTCTTCTCTCCCATTTATTTATTCATTCCATCACACATTTATATCAGTATTGATCATTTGCTCTTTAATCTCTGTTCCCACAGCACCTACCACGTAATCTGGCACTTAGTGAGCTCTCAGCAGTGTTGGTTGAGAGACTGAGGGTGTACGGACTGACTTGTGTCCCCTCAAACTTCACAGGTTGAAGCCCTAAGACCTGGTACCACAGAATGTGAGTGTATTTCGAGACAGAGCCTTTGCGGAGGGAATGAAGGTTAAATGAGGTGATAAAGGTGGGGCCCTATTCCAATAAGACTGGTGTCCCTTTAAGAAGAGAAAGAGATGCCGGGGGCAAGCGCAGGGAGAGAGAGGGCGGCCATCAGCAGCCCAGGAGAGGGGCCTGAGGAGAGAGCAGCCCTCCCAGCACCTTGATCCTGGACCTCCGGTCCCCAGAGCTGCAAGAGAACACGTCGCCGCTGTTTAAAGGACGCAGTCTGCGGCATTTGGGGATGGTGGCCCTAGCAGACTAACAGAAAGCGGAAGCACAGGGGCCAACGTTTTTTACACACTGGTTCTGTGCGTAAGTCCCAGGAGGTCACTGGTGCTCCTAGGGTCCTAGGAGGGAAAGTCCTGTGGGATACTCCTGCTCCCCCAGAACCATGGGTTGCTGTCCATTAAATATTTGTTTCTGTGGTGGTTTCAGTCACGACACACGGCTTCTGCGGAAGTGGGTGGTAAAAATGTCTACTGAAAATTCTTCTTTGTCATCCTGTGATCTTAACCAGAGAGTAAAGAACCAAAAGATTTTGAAATGACATGAAGGTGGAAAGTTGCTTGAGCCTTCACACAGCCATTTTTTCCTTCCTTTGGGATCTATACACCTACCACCATATCTATTATTATTTCCAGGAGGAGAAAAAAAGGAATCAGAAGGATAATTGTAACTAAAGCAAAGAAGCAGATAGGAAAGGGAGAGGGTTTTTTTCTTTCTGAACAAATCACTCACCTATAAAATGAGAGGTTTAGATTATATGGCCTCTGATGTTTCTTCCCTGTGCTTTAAAAGGAAATGATAACTAATGTGTTCAGGGCTTCCTAAGCACTGGATATGGTATCTTACGTGGTCCTCAAGACAACCTTACAAGGTACTATTTTTATCCCCATTTTGCAGATGAGGGAACTAAGATACAGAAAGACCAAGTAACTTGCCTAGGGTCACACAGCAAATCAGTGGTAATGTTCAGATTTGAACCCAAGCAGGATGATTGCAGAGCCTGTGTTCTGTTTCTTATCAGGTAAAGTGGGTATTCCAGGGTGAGCTGATGGACAGAACACACAAAAGGATGAGTGGCCCCAGATCTGGAAATGGTCCAGGGTTTGTGAGCTTCTGGTACTGGGATCAATCTAAAATTAATGTTTAAATAACAATTCCCTTCACCCCCAAACTGTTTCATTGTCTGACTGCTGAGTTTGAATGAGAGCTATAGAAGATGCTGCTCTGTGGTTTGGTATTAAAGTTTAAAAGTCATTGTACTGGTATTGACAGCCCAATAAGGTGGGGGGGGGGGGGGCGGTGCAGGGAACTTCTTAAAAAATAGAAAATAAGCATTTGGGTTATAGAAAAAACCTCGGTTGCATTTCTAGAGAGTAAAACCCAGCAACTTAGGAATTCTAAGAGATTTCTCCAAAGTGTGCTTTCGTTAACAAGAATGAACTGGACGCCCCTGAAGAGCTGCCTCTGTTCTCGGCTTGGCCGAGCACTTGCTGCAAACTTCTCTGGAAGATTTATCAGATGGGGTGAGCCTGTAGGAGGAAAAACGATGGGCCCTGAGTTTTTGGCGTTTTTTTTTTTAAGTTAAAAGGTTCAAAAATAACCCCTCTCCTCATCCATCCTTAGAATTACACTTCCCAGCGAAGCCTAGTTCCCTTTCCTGGTAGATATAATCCTAATTAAAAATAAATTACACGCTGTATAGAACTTGAAATGGAAAAGATAATCCTATTACATATGAGAATATATCCTGATTTTCTTTCCCGCTAAACTGTGGGAGATATCAGATCAGGCTGAGCCCTCCATTGTCGCCGCTTTGAAAACTTTCCTAGGGCCCTAATCCGTCACGTGACGCCGGTGTCAATCTCGGGGTCTGCACGCGAGTTTCACAATGCGGGCATTAGGCTCGGTGACAGAAACCCAGCTTTGCGGAGCCCGCAACATTTGCATTCCGAGAAAACGCCGGCCATTGTGGGGCTGTGTTTGTTCTCAGAATTTCGAGACAGTTGCCGACGAAGTTGCTAAAACCGAGAGAAAGGGGCTCCTTTGAGCCTGCCCAGGCCTTTGGTATGATAACAAGTCGATTTGAGCAGCTTTTGTGGGGCCGGATCAGCGCCTGGGGAGGGCGAGCTCCCCTCCCTTCCTGCGGCCCCACCTCCCCGGATGGTCTGCCTCCCCGGGGAGTTGCTGTAGGCGCTGATGCGCTATTTTAAATCGTATTTCCATAATCTGGGGGCTGCAGGCGGCGGGGCCAGGAGCTCACTCTGCTCGCGTGCCTTCACACCTCTACGGCCGCCTCGGAAAGGCCTCGGCTCGCCCGCCGCGCAGCCGTGCTCAGCGCTCTGCTCCCCGGCTCTCCGCCCGGGCTCCGCGCTCCGCGCTCGGCGCTTCCTGGCGCCGCCGCTGTCGTGGCCACTTCCGAGCGGTCGAGGAGCTGGCAGCGGACAAAACGCGTTGGACCTGCTGCTAGCCGCCCCACACCCCTCCCGCCTCTTGCCTTTTGCCAGCTCCCCTACTCTTCCCTTTGCCACCTCCGCAAGCACGTCTTCATTTATTTCAGTCTTGAGAATGAGCATTATGACGTGGAAGCGATTTGAGTAAAAACATTAGGTAGTTTCGATGTTCTGGCCTAACAAAAAAACCCAAATTTAAAAAACGCGCGGCTGGGCTCCCGCGGTCCAGCCTAGAACTGCGGGCGCGGGGGGCGCAGGCGTGGGGTCCGGCTCCCAGCCACTCGCGGGCGGCCGGGCTCTGGGTCAGTGTCTACTCACGGGAACAGCTGAAGACATCCTTTCTCTGCGACTCCGGACCCACTGCCCTCTCCCTCCTTGCCCTCTCCCCGGGTGCTCGGCTCAACAGCAGCAGCGCGGCGCGGACCTGACCTCCCCGGGTTGCGCGCGTGGCACCCGTGAGGCCGCTGTCCAACTACCGAGTTCTGAATCTTTTCGCGTCTGGGCCGACCAGGGAACAGGGGTGAGGAGGGAGGGCGGGACCACCGGAGCGCCAAGGGTCACCAGGAGGTCTCAGGCCGGAGTGGGTGTGTTGCAGGTCTCAGAAAGAAGACAGACAATTCTTTGGGCTGCACATACCCTCCAAGAAACGTCTCAGGCGGGAGCAGAGAGAGAGCAAGCTATTAAATGAAAGATGGGAGGGAGAAAAAAAGCGGAAGAGAAGCCTGAGAATTGGGCTCCTGTAGGGGGCGTAGCCCTTTCCACGTCCCAGCGCGGCTGCAGTTGCCCGGTCTCATCGCTTTTAGCACTCCCGGGGCTGCAAGGTGGAGGAGGCGGGAAAGGGAACCGAGAGGTACGACCGCTCTGAGAAAGCCCCCAACTACCCACCGCCCCACTCCCTCGATCTCATAAGAGCTTTTACTTATTGATGGCTGGAGCTGCATTTTTTGCTCTCTGGCAACTCTGAGCACCTCTTTCACCCTCGCTCACCCCCAGTACCCACTCAGCTCCCTTGCTCGTCTCCCTACTCTGGGGAGAACTCCTGCATCTCTTCTGTGAGGACCTCAGAACACATTCCCTCGGGTTTGAGGGAGAGGAAAACAAAGACAGCATGCTGACAGCAGGGCTAAAATCAGGATTCAGAATAATGTTTACTGAATGCAGTCTGCTTATCAAATCCATCACCTTTAAAAAAAAAATCCTTCCATGCGTGACTTTTGTTGTTACCTCTCCTCCTTCCTTTGTATTTGCATAGCTTGCTCAATAGAGCTCTTCAGTAAGAATTCCTCTTGTTCCTCCTTGGAGCCCCGTCTCCCTGGTCTCCAGGGATGCTGAAGGGGGGATACCTGTGGGGGCAGAGCGAAATGCCTGGCCAGCTCTGGGACCCACCCAGCCCAGAGTTTGGCAGTGCCGAAGCTCCACACTGTCGTAAGCAGATGGTTAAGCCCCCCCAGGTTCGTGCCAGGTTTCAACGTCATGCTGTGGTTTTGTTCTTCTGGGACGGGATGAGAGTAACTTCCCAGAGCGGCCCTATTAGAACAGAAAGAAAATCCTCTAAATAGGCGGAACAGGGCATCAGGAGGGGAAGTTCTCTAAACGCACTTTAATACGAGCCGGGTATTGTGTGGAATTCAGCGCCCATCACCGTTTAGCGGAGAGTTATGGCAGTGATTGGGGATGAATAGAGGAACATAATGGATACATGTGGCGTTTGCTCATTATATTCAAGTTAGCCCGACTCCTCTGTGGAAACTGTTCAACTTTCTCTCCCCTTAGCTTGTCACAGTGAAATAATACAGACATTGGGGCCTCCAATGGGATCGCCTGCCACGCCATTCTATTTCCACTGCTAACGAGGGCTTCATAAGCCTTTGATACAGTCTGATCTTTGAAACCTTTCCAAATCTCCTCAAGCCTAAGCTAAATCCTATTTGGAACTTTTTTTTTCTTTCCCTGCTAGCGCCCAGGGCTTAAGAAAGCCATTTGGACAGTGACATGCATACTAACACATCGCAGGGCTCTTTTCTGAAAGAGAAGTGGCAGCTCTGATCACTGGGGCTCACACGAGCAAAACACAATCGCGTACACAAATTTGAATAAAATCAATTTTCCTTTATCCTTCAGGTTCCTTAATCGAGAGGCTATCCGGGCGCCGTGGGAAGCAGGGAGAGAAGATGAACAGAGCAGAGTCTCCCTCGGCAGAGCAAGTCTGTGCAGAGAGGTCTGCGAGCGTTAAAAAGACTCCGAGATGCAAAACGCAGAGAGTGGGTGGGAGGTCCGGGCCGCTGGGGTGAAACCCCAGGGTGTTTGCTCTTAGTTCAAGCAACCGGTATGGGAGGGGCATAATTAACAAAACCATCCACTTCTTTTATTCCTGGCGACCTGTGCCAACTTCTCTACATGCAGGGCGCTGACAGGAAAAGGAAAAAAGCAAAAGGACTTAAAGAAACAAAGGAGAGATTCCCTAATTTTCCTTCCTTGCTTTCCCCTCTAAGCCTTTCCACATTACAGGGATTGTTAGCGGCTGGTGTAGGAGCGGCGCAATGGTGAGGGTGCCATTGGCTGCCCGGTTCGGGTGATTTGCATATCGGCGGCTATAAAGGAGGAGGCGGCGCGAGGCTGCGCAGCTCCAGCAAGGAGAAAGGAGAGAGAGTTGCCGTTTGAGGGCGGGTCCGCGCGTCCTTAGAGCCCGCCGGAGCCTCCGAGCTGCAGCCCCCAGATTTCTCCCTCACGGAGCTTGCAAAGATCGTGCTCCGAGGAGCCCGGGACTCTACGCCCGCACCAGCAAACCAGAGAGGAATCTTCCTCAGTCTTTTGGAACAGCACTTGGGGCTGGCGGCATGAGTCCAGCGAGGCGCGGGGGCAGCCCCTGCCTTTTCCCCTTGCAGCTCTTCAGCCTCTGCTGGGTGCTCTCAGTGGCCCAGTGCAAGACAGTGCGATACAGCACCTTTGAGGAGGACGCCCCTGGTACGGTCATCGGGACCCTGGCTGAGGACCTGCATATGAAAGTGTCCGGAGACACAAGCTTCCGCCTGATGAAGCAGTTCAACAGCTCGCTGCTCAGGGTACGCGAGGGCGATGGGCAGCTGACCGTCGGGGACGCGGGCCTGGACCGCGAGCGGCTGTGTGGCCAGGCCCCTCAGTGCGTGCTGGCCTTCGATGTGGTCAGCTTCTCGCAGGAGCAGTTCCGGCTCGTGCACGTGGAGGTGGAGGTGAGGGACGTCAATGACCACGCGCCGCGCTTTCCCCGGGCCCAGATCCCCGTGGAGGTGTCCGAGGGCGCAGCGGTGGGCACGCGCATTCCCCTGGAGGTGCCAGTGGACGAGGACGTGGGTGCCAACGGGCTGCAGAGCGTGCGCCTGTCCGAGCCACACAGCCCCTTCCGCGTGGAGCTGCAGACGCGCGCGGACGGCGCCCAGTGCGCTGACCTCGTGCTGCTGCAGGAGCTGGACCGCGAGAGCCAGGCCGGCTACAGCCTGGAGCTGGTGGCCCAGGACGGCGGCCGCCCGCCGCGCTCTGCTACAGCCGCCCTCAGCGTGCGCGTGCTGGACGCCAACGACCACAGCCCGGCATTCCCGCAGGGCGCTGTGGCCGAAGTGGAGCTGGCGGAGGACGCGCCCGTCGGCTCGCTACTGCTGGACCTGGACGCGGCCGACCCCGATGAGGGCCCCAACGGCGACGTGGTGTTCGCCTTCGGCGCCCGCACCCCGCCCGAGGCGCGCCGCCTCTTCCGCCTAGACCCGCGCTCGGGCCGCCTGACCCTGGCGGGACCCGTGGACTACGAGCGCCAGGACACCTACGAGCTGGACGTGCGGGCTCAGGACCGCGGCCCCGGGCCCCGCGCCGCCACCTGCAAGGTCATCGTGCGGATCCGCGACGTCAATGACAACGCGCCGGACATCTCCATCACCCCGCTGGCCGCCCCGGGTGCGCCTGCCACCTCACCTTTCGCAGCTGCTGCCGCCGCCGCTGCTCTCGGAGGGGCAGACGCGACCTCGACTACTGGGCCTGGGACACCAGAAGCCAGCGCCATCTCGCTGGTGCCAGAAGGGGCGGCGCGCGAGAGCCTGGTGGCGCTGGTCAGCACCTCGGACAGAGACTCGGGAGCCAACGGGCAGGTGCGCTGCGCCCTCTATGGGCACGAGCACTTCCGGCTGCAGCCGGCCTACGCGGGCAGCTACCTGGTTGTGACCGCGGCGTCCCTAGATCGCGAGCGCATCGCGGAGTACAACCTGACGCTGGTTGCTGAGGACCGCGGCGCGCCCCCGCTACGCACCGTGCGCCCCTACACAGTGCGCGTGAGCGACGAGAACGACAACGCGCCGATCTTCACGCGGCCGGTCTACGAAGTGTCTGTGCGTGAGAACAACCCCCCAGGCGCCTATTTGGCCACGGTGGCCGCCCGGGACCCGGACCTGGGCCGCAACGGCCAGGTCACCTACCAGCTGCTGGAGGCCGAGGTGGGCCGCGCAGGGGGTGCCGTGTCCACCTACGTCTCGGTGGACCCGGCCACTGGGGCCATCTACGCGCTGCGCAGCTTCGACTATGAGACGCTGCGCCAGCTCGACGTGCGCATCCAGGCAAGCGACGGCGGCTCCCCTCAGCTCTCCAGCAGCGCCCTGGTGCAAGTTCGGGTGCTGGACCAGAACGATCACGCACCGGTCCTGGTGCACCCAGCGCCAGCCAACGGCTCCCTAGAAGTGGCGGTCCCCGGGCGCACAGCAAGGGACACGGCCGTGGTGCGCGTGCAGGCGCGGGATGCGGACGAGGGGGCCAATGGGGAGCTGGCATTCGACCTGCTGCAGCAGGAGCCGCGAGAAGCCTTCGCCATCGGCCGCCGCACGGGGGAGATCGTGCTCACTGGCGACCTCTCGCAGGAGCCGCCAGGCCGCGTGTTCCGGGCGCTGCTGGTCATATCCGACGGCGGCCGGCCCCCGCTCTCCACCACCGCCACCGTCAGCTTCGTGGTGACAGCAGGCGGCGGGCACGGGCCGGTGGCGCCCGCCAGCGCGGGCAGCCCAGAGCGCTCTCGCCCGCCTGGCTCTCGGCTCGCGGCGTCCGGGCCGGCGCTACAATGGGACACGCCGCTGATCGTCATCATCGTGCTAGCAGGGAGCTGCACGCTGCTGCTGGCTGCCATCATCGCCATCGCCACCACCTGCAACCGCCGCAAAAAGGAGGTGCGCAAAGGGGGGGCCCGCCGGGAAGAGCGGCCCGGGGCGGCGGGCGGCGGAGCCTCGGCTCCCGGCTCCCCGGAGGAGGCCGCCCGGGGAGCCGGGCCCAGGCCCAACATGTTCGACGTGCTCACCTTCCCTGGCAGCGGCAAAGCGCCCTTTGGCAGCCCCGCGGCCGACGCGCCCCCGCCCGCGGTCGCCGCGGCCGAAGTCCCGGGCTCGGAGGGCGGCAGCGCCACCGGGGAAAGCTCCTGTCACTTCGAGGGGCAGCAGCGGCTCCGCGGCGCGCACGCCGAGGTGAGGCCTTCCTTCGGCAGGGCGCCCCCCTCCGTGCTCCGCGGACAGGCTGGGGGAAGAGACTGGAGGGGTCTGGGTGGGTGTGCGCGGGAGATGCCTAACCTGTGGCACTTTTTTTTGTTTGTCTCTCGTCCAACCCCCACCCTCCTCCCCCTATTCCCTGCTGCAGCCGTATGGTGCCTCCCCCGGCTTCGGAAAGGAGCCGGCGCCCCCCGTGGCGGTCTGGAAAGGACACTCTTTCAACACCATCTCCGGCCGAGAAGCAGAGAAGTTCAGCGGCAAAGACAGCGGCAAAGGGGACAGTGATTTCAACGACAGCGATTCGGACATTAGCGGGGACGCCCTGAAAAAGGATCTCATCAACCACATGCAGAGTGGTGAGGACTCTTTTTCCTGCCTAGTTCAGCATTCCTCCTCTCCCTCCCCTCATGCCTCTGCTTGCCCCATCTCCATCTCCGTTCCCAGACCCCTTCCTTCTTCCCCAACTCTTCTCAGTCCTGGAGGTCCGGATCCCGGCCGACCAGATAACAGTGAATTTCAAAATGCCAAGTCGAGGCTGCCACACCATTTGAATAAAGCACACTTCCATCCTGTTGGGCAGAGTAAGGGGTGATGCTAAGTGAGGAGGGGAATTCTGCTTATCAAATTGTTTTGCTTCCAGCAAAAGAAGCTGAGCCCACTTGGTATTAAGTGGCTTTACAGGAAACAATGTCCCTTCAAATGGTTAATCACTGGCCTTCCTCTTCATGCACGCTTTCCTTTTCAGCCACCCTGACCCTGTCTGACATTGTGCAGATGGAGGCGGAGGTGTGTGGAATGTCAGTGATAATCATCATGCTCTCTCCCTTTCTCTTTAATGTCAGGACTGTGGGCGTGCACGGCTGAGTGTAAGATCCTGGGCCACTCGGACCGCTGCTGGAGCCCATCCTGCGGAGGGCCCAACACGCATCCCCCGCCTCACGCGCCAGCCCAGATGTCAACCTTCTGTAAGAGCACGTCCCTGCCTCGGGATCCTCTGCGCAGGGACAATTACTACCAGGCCCAGCTGCCCAAGACAGTGGGGCTGCAGAGCGTCTATGAGAAAGTGCTACACAGAGACTATGACAGGACAGTCACTCTGCTCTCCCCACCCCGTCCAGGGAGGCTCCCAGACTTACAGGAGATCGGGGTGCCCCTCTATCAGTCCCCCCCTGGCAGGTACCTGTCCCCAAAGAAGGAAGCCAATGAAAATGTGTAATCCCACGCTGCATGTCTTCACACATACACAGGTCACTCCGAGACGCCCCTAAGTTATTGACCGGTTTCAGTGTTGTATATATAAATATGCAAGATGTGCCTTAAAATGAAGTTGTTGGAAGCTATTTCCAATCACCTTGGTACTGTTTGGTATTTGCAAACAAAAATGTAGTTAATGTAATTTTTATGAAATGTGTGCAGTATTTAATTTTTCTTATCATGCTATTGACTTTAATTTCACTTGCAGCTTGCCATTTTCTTAGTGTTTTTAACCTGTACATTGTGTAATGTAATGTTTGTATATAATGAAATTTTGTTATATTTTTATATAATAAAAGCTAAAGTGGAAGTTGTTGCCAAAGGAACTGTCTGTAAGACAAAAAACAAAACGCGTTGGAATTACTTAACGGAAATTTATCTTTCACCTGAAACAACCTAGTGTCTGAGAAGTTTTGCCTTGCCAAGTATAACATATATCTTGAGTCTGTGGTAGGTTTCAAGTTCGATGTTATTTAATTACATTTGGTTTTCTGTAAACCATGTCACTTATAAGCACAGTAATAAAGGATTTGTCATGTGTTTGAAGAATCTGCTAATTGCTTTTCACGAAGTTGCCTACAGTCAGACTTTCACAAATAATCTGAGTACCAGAATGAAACCTTGTTTCAAGTGCTAATTATTTGGGCATTATGAATGTTCACGGCAACATTAAACCTGTGGGATTTCAGGTGTTGAAAAGTCTCATCCAAGTATTAAAAATATTTGTTGATTTTGTAAAACATGCATCTCCGTATACATCAGGCACTCTGTAAAATTGCTGCCCTCGTTTATTCACTCAACAAATATCTATGGAGCATCTACCAAAAGGCGGAGGAACACTGTTTGGGCTGTTCATTCACTAATTGAACAAACATCTGTAGAGTTTTTACTAACTGCAGTAACTCCTCCGGGGGTCCTCCTGGGGTTCAAGGTTAAGATGACAGTCCCAAAGAGCCCTTAGCATATTAGGGACATTAACATCAAAAAGAAGCTCTTGGCATATTAGGGATTTTAATATCAAAAAACCACTCAAATTTATGGGGGAAATGACATGATGCTTGGGATTTACTTTAAAATATTCTAGAAGAAAACACAGGGGGCTACGTGAAACAAGACTGATGAAATATTGATCACTGTCAATGCTAGCATGGGTACGTATGTGTGTATGGGGGGGTAATGATACCAATTCATGTGTTTGTGCTTGAAAATCTATGTAATGGAAGGTTTTTTAAAAGACCTATGCCTATGTCTTATACGCTATGCATTCATTTCACTTGAAATTAAAATGGTAATAATAATGAGAACTAACATTTACAGAACAAGCTTTTACATGAGCAAAGCTCCTTACAAAGCACTCTGCGTGAATTAGCTCTTTTAATCCTCAAACTACCCCCATGAGATGGGAACTATGGTTATCTCTGTTTTACACATAAAGAAACTGGAGGACAGCGAGGTTAGGTAAAACACTCAAAGTCACACAGCTAATAAGTGGCCAGAATGAGATTCAAACCCAGATTATTCAAGGCAAGAAAATAAAATGAAGCAATGAAAGTCTTTTTTTTTTTTTAACTTGAAAGAAACAAAGAGCTGAAAAAAAATCCCAATGCATTGCCTTTACTGCCTGATTATTGTTTAGCTCTTTACCTTTGTGAAGTACCTGTGTTCCTTTATTACTAATTACAGAGTGTGAGGCACCGTAATGAATAGAGGAGCCCTCCAAGCTGCCTGTTGAAGTCATAATTGAAACCAGTGGTGGCTCCAAGCTGAATAGCAGGGTGGGCACACACAAGTGCTTCGCCACCCACGGCCTGTGCAAAGTGTGGCAGTTTCTGCAGGCAACTGAGCTGAACATACGCCTGACAAGCTCAGATGGCCCAGACCTCAGGTTCTGGAAGAAATCGTGGGATTTGGCCAGGTTACCAGACAGCTCCAGAACCCTGATGACCAGGCCACAGGAGAGAGACCTTGGGTAGAACCCCTTTCTAACATCTGAAGCTTTCTTGTCGAGCCAGTCCCATCAAATGCAGAGCAGAAGAATGAATAATTCCACACTGCAGTCCAAAAGCATCCAGTCTCTGAATGTGTTTGCCTGTTTTTGTCCTTCAAAAGTAAACATCTAGGGACCGGCCAGGTGGCATAGGGGTCAAGTTCATGCACTCTGCTTCGGTGGCCTGGGGTTGGCCAGCCCAGATGCTGGACATGGACCTCCACACCGTTTATCAAGCCGTGCTGTGGCAGGCATCCCACATGTAAAGTAGAAGAAGATGGGCATGGATGTTAGCTCAGGGCTAGTCTTCCTCAAAAAAAAAGAAAAGAAAAAGGAAAAAAATACCTTATTTTCACCCGTAACCTTTAAAAAAACCAAGCACATAATTCAGTCCTTAAAATTGTTTGTCTAAACAGAGAAAGGAAGGAGGCCCTTCTAAGGGCCAGCAGGAGGAACTCTCAGAAAAATAGGAGCTAGATGAAAGAGGCTTGCCACTTTTCTCAAAAAAATGTTTATTCTCAAGCACATTTTTCAGAAAACATATTGTTTTGTTAAATTAAATGAGATAATATATATGCAGAATACTTAGCACAAGTCCTGTTTCTAGAAGTACCCACTACATTCTGTCCTACTTCCTCTTTCCTTTCCTTCCTCTGGAGCCAGCCTCCACTGGTAACTAGCAGGGAAGCTCCACCCACTAGGAAGATGAAACAGACTCTGGATGCTTGACCTTGTTCTGATGCCGGTTTGCTCTCTTCATTTCTGCCAGTACCACTCTGTAGACCAGACCTCATGTATAGTCAACACTCTACAAACAAGGATGGCTAATGCGAACACCATCAGCAAACTCACAGCCTGAGGTTTGTGACGGTACTACAAACACCTCTCTGGAGGCGGAGGCCAGCAAGCCCTGGGCACCTTGACAGCGAGCCCTGGCCATGGCAGCCCCTTGGGGAAGCAGGAGGTCACCTTGAAAGAGAAAGCTAAAGCCAGACTTTACCTATTTCACATTTTTATGTCTGGCCCCATTGACTCGAATGTCCTATGCTTCCTATAATAAAATATCCATCAAAGAAACCACTTCAGAAAATTAAAATGTAAGTGGTTTCAACATCTATTGAAAAATGCATTCTGAAATAGAGCAAAAACAGGATGCGTGTCTCCAAATACAAATATATATGCACATGAAGAGAAAAAAATATATATATGTATAATCAGGATGAGTTCCATGCCATAATTAGCTAAGTATCTGGCTTATCTCACTTGGCAATATAAGTTTTTATCATCTAAAAATTCCAATTTAGAAAACCAGCATATTCACTTTAGAACTGAATTCAGTAACAACAGGATAATTGGGATGCTGTTAAGTTTTGAAAGCAAACTGAAGCAGTGAGACAATACTCGATGGGGCTCTGTGCTTGGCAACAACGCAGACGGGCTTTGAAAATGCTGTCCAGTTTTCCACAGCCATGCAAACACTCAGGAGAGTATTTATTATTCCCTTTCTTCAGAGGGAAATAATCTGCAATGGACTTCACCAACAGGCTCAACGTCACCTAATAAGAGAACAGCAGGTAGAAAGAGACACCAGGCTGTTTTAAAAGCCATCACTTAAACCACCAGATTAAATGTGCTTTTTTAGCAGGTGGGAAAAATCTTCACTCATTATCAGAGTACAGAATTTCCTCCCACAAAACTTGTTAAAGAAATTTCAACATGTCAAAGTGAAGCCCTGCGTCCTTTAATTCGGAATTAGGGAAATTCCATTTGCCAACCCGGTATGACACTTGGCTATATCACAAACACCTTGTACTCGACATATCCAAATGAAAATCATACTTCCTTCTCTGCCACCACTACCTCCAAAACTACCCATCTGGCAATTATTTTAAACTCAGTGAATGGGACTGAAGTTTTTAGACTAAATCCAAAATACAAAAGTCATTTTGAGACTCCACTATATTTCTTTTTTCTTTCTTTCTTATTTGGTGAGGAAGACTGGCCCTGAGCTAACATCTATCGCCAATCTTCCTCTTTTTTTTTTTCTCCCTAAAGCCCCAGTACAGAGTTGTAAGTCCTTCCAGTTCCAGTAGGATGCCACAACAGCATGGCTTGACGAGTAGTGCATAGGTCCACGCCCAGGATCCAAACTGACAAGGACTGGGCCACCACAGCTGAGCACTACACCACAGGCCAGCCCCCTCCACCACATTTCTTACTTCCGCTCATCAAGGTCTGTTGATTCTACCTTCTAAATATCATTTAATTGTTTCTTCACTCCACTGCGGCAGATATGATGCTCTGCCCACGTGATGACCTCTGAGCTCACCTCAGCTGCGGTGGACACTTCCAGTTTCACAAAGACAGTCCCCATCTTAAGCACCTGTTTCTGCTGCTTGAGACTTGCCGAGGACTTGGGGCTCCACCAGCGTAGGGGCCACAGAAGCTTGTTCAGCCTGTACACAGAGCGGTCTGGAAGTACTGGGGATTTAAGACCTGCAAAGGCAACTTCCAGCCAGCTAGGGACAGACATTGATGGATAAACACCCCAGCTTTCCCCTTCCTTGGAGGCGCAATTTTGTGCTGTCTTCTAACGATTCCTCGGAAGGTCCAGTGAATTTGAGCTTCAGTCACCTACAGCAGCAACCCATTGGGTAACACCCCCTTCAGTGGCTTCCCTCCATCCCTGTCTCACTTTCTTCCCGCAGTCACCTGTGCTTCTTGGGATCATCTCTCAAACAAACTTCCGATACCCGAGTCCTTGTTTCAGCGCCTGCTTTTAGGGGGACTATCCAAATCAGGGTAGCTGCACAAGAACAGGAACAAGGTTGCCACGTTTTAGTGATGACTGCGTTCCAGGCACTGCACCAAGCACCTTACAGTTAATCCTCACAACCTAACGAGGTGAGTGCTCATTAAACCATCTTACCTACGCAGAAAGCGAGACTTGGAGAGGCAAGGCAAGTCGTCTTAGGCCACGCAGCTAAAATTAGGAAGAGCTGGGATTAAATTCAAGATCTGCCTGACACAGAAGAAGGCATACTGACTTGTTCAAACCCTCACTGCTCCTTTCCCGGTTCCAGCACAAATCTATCTGCTCTCCCTGGATTTACGACCTGTCCCGCTCGGCTCCGTCCTCCACGCTGCAGCCGTGAAGACCTTTTCTAAAATCTAATCTTGTCACTCGTCTGATGAATGTCCTCCTGACTTCCCATGGCTGTTAGGATAAAGTCCGCAGTCCATCTGTGGCTTCCCAGACCCTTCATGCTCTGGCCCCTGCCTCTCTCCCAAGACTCCATTCTGCGGCTGCCCTTCCTCCACCTCTCCCAACACACACGCACACCTGGCACTTCAGCCAAAAGGATCTACTCGTCTTTCCCCTCTCCATCCTGGTCCTCCTGCCTGGAATGACATTCTATTCCTCTCCCTCTTTCCCCACCCCACCCTTTCTCTTCTCTGGCCCTTTCTTCTTATCCTTCAAAATCGTTAAAGAATCACTCCTCCCCCGCCCACCCAGCCTCCAGCCAGACAGGGCAGGGCACCCCTCCTGTGTGCTCCC